ATATATATATATATATATATATATAAGAGTTCCACCTTTAAGGACAATGCATTTTAAATGAAGATTTAATAGAGCTTAGTATACTTAACTGGAAGAAGAAAAAAGAGTGAATGTGTACTTTTTATGAGTTAACGAACTCGTTTTTTGTATATTCAAAGAGGAGATTTGTAGACGAAGAAGAAGAAGATAATTCAAGTGTAGCAGAGCGTGTATATAAATAAATAAATAAACAAATCATCCCCTTCCGTCCCCCATTGTATATTAATAAATAAATACATGAACTATTGGTCTCTCTTTCTCTCTCTCATTGTTCTTTGATTCCCTTGAACAAGTTTGTATCGAGCTGCTGGGTGGTTGCTGAATCTGTACAGTAAAGTGGAGTTGCATTGTTTTTCAGCAACAAAGCTGGTCGATTGCATGCAACAAAGCAGTGCGGTGGTTGCAGAGGGCAGTGACCCACAAATGCACATCACAAGACATTTCACCAAGGCATTACTACTCATACTATTTGTTGTTTTTTAAATGGACCCAAGTATGAAACCATAAGTGTTGAGAAAATTAACTAGCCCTTGACTACAACAAATCTATTAATACCCGGTTTGTTGGCAAACATTACAAACACTGCAGAGACGACTCGAAGTCTGATGGAATCAACTCTGACTGCATGGAATCAGTGGTTGTAGTAAACAATGCCAAACCATCCAAATGCTGCCTGCCACACTTGATGCTGCTGTTTCAGGCATGGCTGGATCTTGCCTCTTGCTCTGCAACGCCATTATTCTCTTTGCAGAGAAAGACTTTTGTTGTTGAAAAGGAGAGAGAGTCTGGTGCTGCATGTTGTCGATGCAATGTTCCTTCCTTGTCCGTTGAATCAAAACTAGCGGTGCGGTGGTTGTGGACTACAAAGGTTCCTTCACTGCTGTAGCTATTCTATTCATGTTGTGAGGGTATTTTACTTGACCAGATATCAAAAAGAGACTAGAAAGAAAGCAAGGTGTCCCAAATATCGTTTTATGAATCGTTTTATTTATTTATTTGTGGTTTTTTGTTTTTATTACCGACCAATGTTGATGGATTGCCTTCCGTGAGCAGGTTGATTGCGGAGATTGACTGACCATTGTTGATCAATCAGGTGGCTTTACAACAATCTCAACAAGTGAGTTTGTGATTACTTCCAATCGCGATTCATATTGGAGGCTGTCTTTGTGTCAAGTGTTTGGATTTGTCTTTTTGTTTGTTTGTTGTTTCCACCAAAATCGATTGATCAATTGTCTTCAGTGAGCAAGGTGGTTGAAGAGGTAGTGAGTGACCCAAATATGCACAATGGAGGTGAGCTATTTCAGTGCAGATCGGAACATGCCGTGTGAGAATGGGTGCAGTGGATTCTTTTTATTTAGATTGATTAACTTGTTTCTTTAATTTTGTTTATGCAATGGTTAGTTTTTGGAGTTCACTGGTTTTGCAGAGTGTGAATGAGTTTGGTGGTTGTCCAGTGTGGTGTGTATCATCTTTTGATTGGATTCGGTAAATACGTTTGTAATGAATATTTTTTTATTGACTTTGTGTGGAAATTTGATTACCTTCTTAAAATAAGTGGAGGGTTAGTGGGAGGAATGTAAAAAGTTATCTTTGATTTGGTAGTCAGTTGTGAAGTCTCCTCAAAGGTATTCATTCTTTTTGCAGATTTGATTGAAAAAAAATAAGAGAAATTGTGTATATTGTTGTTTACCTGTTTTTATTTTGTTAAAGTGACAAATCTTATCATCTATTCTATGTAACCAAAAAAAGGCAATGTTTATTTTTAGAATATGAATAAAGAAAAAAAATAGGAAATCTTAAATATGTATTTTTAATCTGTTGTATTGTTTATGATATCAATAAATATCTATATTTTTTAGTTTTTAATATGAAATAGCTTAATTTAGTTATCAAATTAAGTATTCAATGTCAAGATGAATGTAGAAAAAACATAAGAATTGGACAAAAAATGATAGAGTATACAAAATTATACAACAATGCATCTAATAAGAAAAAAACATTGATAAAGAAGAAAATCTAATTCATGATATAAATAATAATTTTTATGACAATTTGATTTTTTGGCAGCCATCATTAAATCAAAAGTATAAATATAAAATATAAATTTTGTGGAACATTACAATGATTGATTAAAAGAACTATATATTTTTTTTTTTTTTTTTTTTTTAAAAAAAAATCCAAAGCTTAGATCATGTTATTCAAAAGTAAAACTTTAACTTGTTTTTTAGGATCTTCAATTAATAATAAAAGACTCTTAGAAATAAAAGATAAAGAACATATTATATATATATATATATATATATATATATAAATGATAATACAACTCATCTCATGTATTTACATTACTTAGATTCAAACTCACTAATAGAATTTTTGAAGGCTAATGATTTTATTATTCTTAAATATTTGAAGAGCTTTAATATCAAATTAATATAGTTCTTCTTAAAGAAGATATTAAACTGAATTATACACAATTGAATACATATGATAGAGGAGTTGAACCTTAAGTAAAAATAGCCCAAAATATAAATTTATCAAATAGAATAATAAAGAAAAATATTTTAAAAATCTAATAATATTATGTATTGTATGTACTATATTGCAAAATCCATAATATATCAGTGGAACAAATGTTTGCTACTATTTTACTTCAATGCACATCAATTCATCTTTTAGAACTATGGAAGAAACTTAAGGGAAGTATTTTTGATGAAATAAGCTACCAATTTATTAATCGTCAAATGAATAAAAATTTAACAAAAGATCAAGTATTAGACCATAATTCTTTTTTTAAATAAAATTCTTCAAGAGTTTGATTTTTTTTTTTTTTAATAATTTCTTCTTTAGTCTTTGTAGCAAAAAAAATTGGAGTAAATATGTCGACAACAAGTTGATTGCTAATTATATAGAGAAAAATTGTAAAGATCTTATATTAAAGTTAATAGTGATTTTAAGAAATGATAAAACTTTTATATCTCATACAATTGTAATAAAGATTTAAAGACTTGGAAAAATTGCTTTATGTGTTGCTTTATTAGATATTATTTTTTAACTTCTTAATGAAGAATGTATAATATATTTAACAGTCAAGATTCCATTAAATGTACTTGAAGAACTTTTTTTTGTCATATATCAAAGAATATTGCACATGCAAATATTGTGTAAACGATAAGTCTTATTATTTGATATAAAATACTAATTAAATACTATAATTTTTATAAAGATATCAATATATTATTTTTAGATGTATAAAAATAATATTTTTTTGATAGAACTCTAATAGTTATTGATAGAGGGTTTTTGACAAATTCTTCTTGTGATAATTAAAAAAGATATCAAAATAGTAATAAAAATAATAGATTTCTTTTTTAAAACTTTTATTTATAACTTTTGAATAATTTTATAATCAATAGATTTTATTATGATATTATATAATATAATATTAACATAGATAATTTATATATGAAATCATAATTAGAAATATTGATATATTTATTTATTTATGATTTATTATAATTTTTTATTATAAAAAAAATGATGAATCATAATATTTTGACTACGAATTAAGATAATTTTTATTTCAATAACCTATATTTATTAAATTTAAAGGTGCAAACTATAAAAATTCCTCTTGTATTTTAATAGTACATAAGTTAAAATGATACAATTAATGATATAATTCTATTCTAATTTTTTATCTTTTAATTGATTTAAAAATAGTATATTGAATGCACTAAATTTTATTAATATTAATCAATACTATAATTCTATAATCTAAAAAATAATAATTAAAAAAAATTATTAATTAGAAAATAAAACTATAAAAAGTATTTTAAAATAATAATTTATAATTTAAAATAACTAATGATAAAATTTCTAAGTTGATAAATAATTTAAAAATACAATTTTAGCTTGAAATGGCAAAGAATCTTTGTTATTTATATAATTATATAATCCAATACAAAGATCAATATAATTACGATTTAATACAAACTATGAATTTTTAAATTTTTGATTATTAGTGTTGTATTATGCATTTCTTTTTAAATAATTAAATATATATGTATATATATGTATATATATATAATTTTTTTTTTATATGTATTTTACAAAGCATTGACATAGGCTAAAATTGAATGATCTTGTACTTATTCAAATCTTGCAAAAACAAGAAAGTTTTAATAAGTAGCCCAGCTGTTGTATTAGATGTTGTATTATTAACATGTCTTTCAAATCAAAGTGTAGATTTGGATGATTATGGATTTTACCGAAATGTCTTTGATTCTACAATAAACTAGTTTTCTCATGATCCGGTAGTAAATCAATTCCAAATACAAGACATTGTTTTGAAAATTAAGTACATTAATGGCTGATACAAGTCAACAGAAAGTTTGGAATTTTGGTTGTTTATGATTACTTCAATGCATTGATAAGTTGTTGGTTAATTTCTTAACCTTTTGACGAACAAGAAATCGTGTTGATTCATGCACAAAACCTCTGAAAACCTGTGATAGAAATACATTCCAGAGTGAGTGGACCCTCTTTGCAGGAATGACCTGCAAGTTCTCCTCAATCTTGCCTTCAAATGGGACTGTGGTTCACGTTTTGACAGGATTGTATGTAAATTCAGACAGTTGAATGATGAAGTTCCTCACTATCGTGAAACTGAACCTGAAAATGCTAGTAAGCTTACAAAATCCTGAATTTCTTTATATATATATATATATATATATATGTATATATATACACGATGTTGCAGCCATTGATGGGACACCCAGGTATCGTTGATCCTCAAAAACTGAGGGACTCTTGCACGCCAAGACACTTTGTGAAGAAGTCTCGCATTGTAACCAAGTAGACTATTTTAAGGCAATGCCAGAAACTAAAACATGCAACGGTGAATGAAAGGTGAAAGAAAAATGAAGAGCTGGAGAAAAGTGTCTTGATTACAGAACATCACTTTGTTAAGCATCAAACCTATAATAATCTGCTGTTACAGAAAAACAGTACAATCGAATGACCAATTGGCATGCTGAGTGTAGGACTGGTACACGAGACATGTCTAGACTGTAATGGATTAAACACACCGTGTCCAAGGTATGCACGTCTGCGCAAACATATCTGTAAATATTCAGGTGGAATCAATAAAATTGATAGGGTAGGATCGGATCAACGCCTTCGCAAGTGCAAACTTCCAGTCGGGTGCTAAAGAATTCACGGAGGAGAATCTTGAAGCGGTTTATAGGCGTAGCTCGAGGTCAAGTTTTTCGCCGCTGGGTTGATGAGCTCTAGGACCAGGTTCTGCAAAGCTTCTTCTGCTCATGAAATCGCAGAGGACTTCAGACCTTGTCTCATAACAGGACCCGAGCACCAAGTTATGAGATAAGATGGGATTACCGTTCCGGACGAAAGAGCCTCGCGGTGCAGGTCCTTGAGTTGAGACGAGGTCCACTCTGCAAGAATTAGTAGCCGGTGCAGACGTGAGCTGATGGGCAGGGAACGGCGCAGGGACTTGAAGGGATGAAGTTGGGTGAAGCCTCTCAACTGGTTGGAATCTGGAAAGGTTGAGGAGAGCAGTACGTTGTTGTTGCGTGGCCTGGGAGCTAGTGGCATTAGACGATGGGCTGTGCAGCTGGGTCACTGATGCTGGTGGAGGTAAAGACGATAGCCAACATAACGACGGGGAACTTGAAATGCGCCGTTCGGATGCAGCCATGAGTGATCCTCCTGCGTTACGTTGTGTGCTCACGGGGTCGATATCTTGAAGGGAAGTGTATTGAGCAGCTGGAGTTCTGTTCACCATTGAGCAGGAGAAGGTGTGCCGCGCAGGTTCAGGATGCAGATCGGTCAGCATTTCGTTGGCGTAGGCTCTCTCCCTTCTATGCACGTTCATGTGGCCTCCAAGAGCTTGCGCAGTTCTGAACATTCGGGTACAAAAGTTGCAGTTGAAAGTTCTAATGGGCCAGTACTGATCATAGAGCGGCGACGCCTTGCATGAAACATCAATATCACTGTCATCGTAGGCTCGGGTGGAAGGTGACGCTGTTGAAGAGCGTTTCGAATCGCCAACAACATTCATGTTTTGTGTTGCAGTCTGTACGATGGTCACCTGCGGTGAAGCACTCAATCTTGACCCAGCATGTCCCCTTACGGCGTATTCACCACATTGCTGCACCTGCATCAGGACTTCCATGCTGCTAAGGTTACGCTAGCGCTGAAAGTACCAAGAGCTTCATAATTGTGCGAAGTTTGTGTCTCCTTCGCAAAATACGTATGATACATCAATAGTACACGTAATCTAGAGAATGAACAACGCCAAGTCTTAGAACCATTCACAGTCATGCTTAAATATTGCGCCGTAGGCATTTACAATGTTTTGCAATGTGGAACTTCAGCGAGTGGACGCAAGATAGAACTGACCAACATGAAGGTATTTACATAGCGAGTTCCCAACCTGGTAGAGGACTAAGACAGCTGATGTGCTCCAGATTTTGAGAAGAGGTACTTCATCACCACAGCAGGATTGATTACGCCCATGCAGATTCAGTTAGTCTTCCGATCAACTGGAGAAACTCAGACGACATGCGTACCGCTTTGAAAGGTGAAATAATGCAGTAGCATAGACATGAGGAGTTGCCAAGTGATTTGGCTGAGTTTGAAGTGGTGTCTGTGTCGAAACATTCGGCAAGAATATCTATCGACGATAATTTCACATTCCTTGCTATGGTCGTCTGCCACAACTGCGCTCATGTAGAGCACGTGCCCATCCTCCGCTGTCTCCATCACTGATCGTCGTCTTTACTTTTCTGATTTTACCTACTTATTGTTCCATTTCCAACCTGAATTCTTCCATCCACTTATCTTATCGAACGACATCCTTTGACCTCTTTCAATTAAATTATAACCCGATAACTTGCGCTAGATAGATGTTAACACAGGTTGTTTGTTTCGACGACCTGTACTTTGACGTTTGCAGAAGTTTGTCTCTGACGCTCCGGAATCCAGGAAGAACATGCAACATTCAATGTTATCACAGTACCACTCCAAGCATTTCATGAATTCCAATTAAGTTGTGTACCACGTCGCAACTCAAGTTCGATCCGCTGCTGCAATCCCAGTGGATGAGAAGGACTGAAGCATCTTGAATTTCGCAGAGACATTATTTTGTTGTGGGTGACTACGATAAACCTCTCGAATCTCATCAAAAGCATATACAGTTCTACAGTCATGTGTATTGAGTATCATGTAGATGTAAGTGTTCAAACAGTAACTTTCTGAATTGGGACTGAATCTCGACCTGACACTAACGGGTGCAGACGAGATTGGAAACTCCAGAACTGACATCCTAACCTTTTATTATTCATCATAATGCTCTGAACACGACATTCCCACGACAAGACACTTACTTTCAGGCTTTGAATATTATTTTTCTAAGCTCGATCAGCTTTGTTTTAAATTGAAGCCATCGAATTACTGTAACCACTGAGATAACTGCCAAAGGGGTCCCGCTTTCAATCAGCTGCTGCTGGGAATGGGCACGTCGATTTCGGTCAGACAGATCTTTTCAATCAAATTCTTAGTTTGGATTGATGTTGTGGTGAAGATGATGTGAGGGTACTAGGTCACACCATTCGGCACTCATGCAACTATTCTATAAGACCTGATCCCCTTCAGATCATTGTAATTTCTTATCAAAGAAACCCTCCAGAAATACCTGTATACATTTTCGCCTCCCAGGATATATGGAGTTACAAATTACAGGGACTGCTTTAGCCGATGTGCGAGGTCACTTTAAATAAGCAAGGGTTTTTCCATTGGAATGTAAATGAGTTACTGACCGTAGGGCATGATAGACTTGTCTGTCCTTACAGTGACTCTGGGCGGCAGTCCGGCAACTTTGTGTTGTGGTCTTCTAAACTGAGAACAGAAGCCTGTCAGTTTGGGGTGGTGACCCACCTGGAATGACGACTTGCATTTACAAATGCAGCACAGCAGCTTTTCCGCTAATATGAATATCTGCGTGTAAGTCAACTGTCCCAATTGCTCTAGAGCTTTCGCTAAACTTCTAGATGTGCTGTCCTGAAAGTCCTTAAATTGGCTCATCGGTCGGAACATTCATGAAGCTTGCCACTCGTTCTATTTCAGTGATGTTAGCGATGATGGCGATTGATATTTCCGACTCGTCTTTCACTATGATGTATGTATTGTAGAGATCCAATGCTAGCTACTACGATGCGTTATAGAGGCAATAGGTTTCTGGTGATTGCTCATCACTCTCTCACAAAATTAGTTAAATGGCACATGGCTGCCCGGCTGGAATCTGAACCACATCAACTCCATCAAATCGATCAGGGTACCGGATGTCGTTTATTTTCCGCCTCTGGCCAGGGTTGAAAAATCAACAACTGCAGATGATAAGTTGAAATTCGCGATGGGCTGCAGTGTGGCCTTTCGAAGCCTGACGAGAGGCACCTGTAAGTTCATGTCTGTCTGGCTCTTTGTTGAAGACCCGTGTGTTTATAGATTCAAGGGTTCACGTCAACCTGCTCACTATTCCTCTGGACGTGAATGGATCAGAACCCATGAGAAAAGGGCTTGATCTGCTAGCTTCAGCAGCTTGTTGATGGAGCCTAGATGAAGCCCACTAGATTGAGATCGAAGCCATTGTTCTGTGCAGGTGGTTACTAGATCCACGTCCAAGTGAAAATCTTTCGCATCAGCGTGTCATTAAGAATACAACACCTAGTCTTGCGTCCACCCATCAGTCAGGGGCCTGAACTGAAGACTACAAGACTGTTCATAGACACACTCGACTGTACTGGCTTTTGCACAGAACCAGGATCGTGACTCCCATTCAAGTTTCCATGTTCTCAGACACTGCGAGACAGCGACGTGTCACATCCCCTTGAGATCTCGCAGCGACCCTCAGTACTCGGCATAGAAAGCATGAGAAAATTGGCGTCAGAATTGATTGTGTGAAATACTTCAATTTCTGGATCAACAAAAATGATCCATGTATATCGAAGAGAGCGTGCGGTCAGAGTAGACTAGTGAAAATAGGGTTGCTGCAGCCGTGTGGAGCAGACGACCGTGCACAGACGCAATTGTTGCTTCTGCCTGCCTCAAGTCAGTGGGCAAGTTCGTGGCGGATCGTCGTGGTGCAGTTTCAGCTGTAAAGTTTATCCAACACAAGCGATGTCGCGCAAGGTGGATCTCCTTTGCACTCATTTAACAACTTTGAGTTTCGAGTTTTGAACAAGCAGAATCCTGTCTATCTACGTCTCGAGTAGCTCCCGAACTTATGTCTTTCTTTACAGTATATGTCTTATGTGTACACATTTTCTCTGCCCAATATGCCACAAAATTTGAAATCGATTTTCTGTGCTGGTTGAGTTGCACATTCTGCATTACATCACGCGCTTGAATCCACTTTCCTGACATAGTTCTGGCGTATCTTGGGGATGAAGAATGTGCAATCTACTCTTGCCACTGCAAGGCGTCACCCATCAAGCAAGCTTAGACCAATGAAGCATTGGAATGTCACAGCATCAGACAATAACTTCAGATCAAAACGAGTCGCATGAAATCAAAGATGATGTCAGTGAGTTCAGCAGATTCGAGTTGTGAAAATAACTGCAGCATGGTCAAGTTACATGGTTTTGTCTGATGATAGTCAGGGAGTAAACAGTTCAAGAGCTTCCACTGAAGTAGCAATCCTGCAAAAGATCCACGGTGATGGTGCCAGCTTCTAGTTCCGTTACTGTCCCCACCACGGTTTCAAGATGAGAACTAGCATCTACCCGATACAGTCCCCGTCCATGGCTAACAACATGAGCATCGACAGCTATAGCCATACATTTCTACGCCATCCACCCTCCCCTAATCCGCGGAGGAAAAAGGCTTTGATAGTGCAGAACCTTAATATCACTACCTCATCACACTCTCTCGTCAGTATAATTACTCACAAGTGTAGACTCCTCCCCGGTGGCCTTTTTCTCAAGGAATTCTAAGCTCGGGTTGGCTTTAGCGGGGCCGACGATGTTCATAACGTCACCAACAGCTCCTTACACGTTCAGTTAGTCGTTGGTTCTTCCTCCACCAACCTCAGCTGTTAATTCTTAACAACAGAAGCAACAGTCTCGCAGTACCTGCAAAAGAGATGGTCTCCTGTCGCCAAAAACCAATCAAAGTCTTAAGACAGTGCCCTTGATGCCTTGGAGTCGTCGAAGCCGGAACACGTCCAGCCCGTCAACGATATTGTCTGCGGTTCAAGCTCGCCAGAGCAAGTGCAACATTCCCAGCAATTACGATCGCCTGTGGTGGTGATGTCAGAGCGAAGAGTAAGACACCATAGCCGGCGGGGAACGATGTCCTACACCTCCTGCTAGACCACGAGTTTTAGGGTACCCTGGATAACACCCTAAAATTCTAAAACCCTTCGAAACCCTAAAAACTGGCTCGTGTTCTGTGACGAGATTTGTCGTCGTTCGTGGTGAAGTTTGGATCGAGTTGGTCTGAGTTTGGGATTTCAATTCTTCCAGTTCCGCTTGGCAAGCTTATTTTTCTTACTGCACTCCATTCCGTTTATGTATCTGTATACATTAGCATCGTTTTTTACGCTTCAAATTGGTACGTTTATGTGTTTTTTGCTTCAAATTGGACGTTGACAACAGTAAAACTATGGAGATTTCAAAATAAATAAATAAGGGAATAAATAAACACGTGCAAGAAGACCCTAGATATTATATTGACTTGGAATTTTAATTCTAATTACCTTTCTCAAAATCGTTATTGTTTACATTGGGTAGTCAAATATCAACATTTTGGTTTTCTAGTTTTTTGCAACTTTTTTTTTGTTAAGAGGAAAATTTTGAGGATATTAGGGATACATCTGAATTTCACTCATTTGTTAGCAGTGATTTATTATATTCTCTTTTTTTCTCTTTTCGGTAAAAGCGTTTGAAATGTTCCTATTTCATTGTAACTCAGCATGGAAGAGTTTAGATTCAAGACACTTAGGGAAATAAATAATTGGAAATTAATCTAAGAAAAATCAATATTATAGTTTTAAATCACGTAGTTCTACACTTATATTTGTGGTAAAGTACTGAATACCTTCACAGTCCTATAACACAGAGAAAAAAGAATCTACCTCAATTTCTGAACTTGAGCTCTTTTAGCATGCATGTCCAGTCTTTGAACTTTAAAACTATTTTTTTTTATTAATTACTGTCAGTTGGGTGTTTATGTTTTGTTTTCTTTTTTGTTTTATGCAATATTCATTGGTGCGATTAATCTTTTGAAAACTAAACCGTGATTTTTGCTAGTTTATCTGATTGGTGTACACACACACACACACACACACATATATATATATATATATATATTTGTATATATATAAAACAAAAAATAATAAAAATAAAACCAGTTATTAAAAAAATACAGTTTTTAGTCCAATTTGTACGCTGGATTTAATATAAGTTAAATATTTTGTTGCTATAAATAAAATTTCATCTAATATCAAACATAAAACACTTGGTAATTTTCATTGACACTTGCACCCATATATAGACATAAAATTCTATGACTGATTGACATGTTGTTAAAGAATTTAATTCACAAATTCACATGCCTTATTATAGATCATGCGAGCACAAGTTTAGTGTTTTTGTTTTTTATTTTTTATTTTTCTCAAACTTACAATATTTCAGGATAAAATGAATAAATTTGAAGTTAATATTTATTAATTAATATTTTGTGATATTCACACACATTATAACATTAACCGGATGAAAACATTCATAAATGACAAGCCGGGATTCTGTTCGTCGAAGACCGGATGGATGAGGATTCAACGAGGGGGGGGGGGGGTGGAACCCTAAAGGGAACTGGGCAGCGACGACACAATTCTCTTTCGCGAAGCTCCGTCGACGCTCTTGTTGCCGCAGTCACCTCCACAGCCAAAGCTCGATCTCGATCCTCTTCTCCTCCTTTTGCCACCATGCCTCCCAAATTGGACCCCTCCCAGATTGTCGAGGTGTATGTGCGAGTCACAGGTATGTAAATTCCAGATTCTTCTCATGCGCCTTGTTATATCACAGGCAGTTTGTTTTTTTTGTTTTTGCTTCGCAGTGGTGTGAAGTACGCATGCACTGCCTCTTTACTACTGTTTGTCACTGCGTGGGCATGAACTTGTCCTCTGGCCCGTTTTTGAGCGACATTGGTTCGCCGCTGGATGAACCTCGTGTCTTTTCCCGTAAGCTGGGTAGTTCTGGGTACGCCTTATATTTCGTTTTTTAATTTCATCGTTTGAAAGTTTGAAGCATGGTATCAGGACCATGCTTGATCTAGACGCCAATGCGGTGCGGTTGAAGGTAGTTTTATTAATCGAGAATGGGTTACGTTGCCCTGTGAGTGTTTTAGCTTTGTCCTGCAGCTCACATGGATGTTGACTCGTTGCATGTTTTTGGTATAATAACTTTTTGTGAGTTTTTGGGGAGATTATATGACATCAGTGTTGAGTGGTGTACATGATGAGGTTTTCAACAATTTGTTCGTTTTAATTGTTTGTGAGACATTTTCCAACTTTATGATTTTATGTTGGAAAATGTCTCACAAAAAATTAATTGTTGCAACAATTATGGGTAGATTAGTGACTTGGTACTTCTCAAGTTGAGTACAGTTCTATGGCAAGCATCTCTTTTTCAAAGCCAGACGTGTTGATTCCAAATCATTGAGATACGTTGCGGATGATTGTATTTTGTGGAGTCTGTTGTGTAAAGGCTATACAGAATTTGTTATCTCATGATGTATTTAATGTGCCTGATAATATTAGGAGCCTTTGGTGCTTTCATGTCCTGTAGATCAGCTAGAAATCATATGATCGCAGCTTTCATAATTGCGTTCTGCACTTTCGTGGTTTTTTTTTTTTTTTTTTTTTTTTTTTTTCTTTCTTTTTTCTTTTGCTCAAATGGGTCATTAGAATTATTTATAGGCTCAAAGGCGAGGTTTCCAGTGCCTTTTAATTTAATTTTTTATATACCTTGGAAATTTCAGCAGAAATTGGGCCTAAATCTACCGTGAATGTTCCCTGTTGCCCACGAGTAACTATCGATGAATGAGGTCGTCAGTTATTTGGTTGTTGTTGTGTTGTATTCGGTTATGGTAATCCGGGATTTGAATTCGATTCACAATCCTTTAATTCAGTTTCTACCGTGCACCAATGTGACGGAGATGTCACGATGGGATAAGCTGCCTAGAAATTGTAGTATTTAGTGTTCCGATCTCTATTCGTTAGACGGTTGACAGTATTTTTCCTGTGTTGCAGGAGGAGAGGTGGGTGCTGCCTCGTCACTGGCACCTAAGATTGGTCCTCTTGGGTTGTCTCCGAAGAAGGTCGGAGAAGATATTGCTAAGGAAACGGCCAAGGATTGGAAGGGCTTGCGAGTGACAGTCAAGCTTACGGTGCAAAATCGACAGGTATATTTGTTTTCTTACTTGAATGAAATGATTACGCTGTTTCTCGGTACTTATCATCTTTTTATTTCCGTAGAGGCATATTTCATGTCCATCCTTTATGATGTAGCCGGTAAATTGAACACATAATTTATTGTTGTTTACAAGGATAATGTGTACAACATGTTCCTAACAGCGCATTACATGGTATCTCAGGCAAAGGTTGCTGTCGTACCCAGTGCTGCTGCGCTGGTCATCAAGGCTCTCAAGGAGCCTGAACGCGACAGGAAGAAGGTCAAAAACATCAAGCACAATGGCAACATTTCTCTTGATGATGTCATTGAAATCGCCAAGATCATGGCTCCGAGGTCGATGGCCAAGGAGTTGGCAGGCACTGTGAAGGAGATTTTGGGTACGTGCGTTTCAGTAGGCTGCACTGTTGATGGCAAAGACCCCAAGGATCTCCAATCAGAAATTGATGATGGAGAGGTTGAAATTTCTACCTAAATTCTTTTGCATAAACCCTTGGCCCAGCAACGTTCCTTGTAGGGGGCCTTTTTCTGCACTGGCTGTGTCGCATGAATCCGGAATATCCGTGTAAATCAGCGATTGTTCAGTCAATAATTGTTGCCTATTTTTTTAGGTTTCTTTGAAAGAATAGACCGTTGGACATTCCGAACGTGAATTGCGTTTGTATGTGATACTGTTGTGTAATTATCTGATTGGTGTCCAAGAACAATAGTATTGAGCACCTACTTTATTACTCTCATCTAGACACTTCTGTAATTAGCAATGACGATTGAGAGTTTAGGGCTGCGATCGACCTCAATATGCCGCTCTATTCACTTCGCCTACCTCGAGAACTCAACAATATTGCTCATTAACTTAACGCATGTATCAGTGTAAAACTATAAGTGTACATGTACGAGAACTTCAAAAGCACGACATTGTTACCATCCCCGAAAAGTTTGCGGATGGAGAGGAAAGATGAATCTTGTGGCCTTGGTTCTCTGTTCAGAACAGCTTTACAGCGACGTTTACAGACACATAAAAAGAAAATTTCGACACACCGCATTTTATCTAATTTAGAGTCCTTTTTCAACAGAACATGCGAATGTAACAATAACCGCACAATCGCCGCAACCATTGTCGCCCCAAAAGCAAGACAAATGATGAGGGCTTAGGCATAATAGCGTCCGAACTGGCTCATTGTTCTTGATCTTAACGAGTCTCGGCTCAGTAATCTCCAATGCTAGCATCTACTGTGTTCGCACGTTTCTATTAAAACCAGGATACGACTTGAAGTAGAATAATGTATGCCAGATCTATGGAATACATCATCTCTCTGAATACCGTCTGAATACCATAAACCGTCAACTCAAGGTTTTTCAGCTATTTCTGATATGTTCCAAAAGAAAAAGAAAAAAAAGAGAAAATGAATTGCAGTAGTGGTTTAACTGGAAAATATTAACAAAGGGGTTTTAGATTAATATATCTTACATCTTGCAACTTCCATTGAGTACCATTTGCAATCTTCATATGAACATCACCTCTATCTATCATATTTAAAGATTCATCATCAACTAAATAGACCTTTTAAATCTATTTAAAATATAAAATAAAAAAATATCCTATATCTTTCATATCCAAGTTAAAATCCAAAAAATTTCTTAAATCTTTTTTGTAAACATCTTCAGTAAGAATTAAATCTTGAACCTCTTCAAGTTTTATCTTCTTTTTTTAAAAAAATTACTTACTATGGTTCCAATTATGGCCTAACTTTTAGGTAAAAAAGACAATAGAATTAAAGCCTTGATTTTGTTGTCAAAGGTTACTTCCACAAAATTCAATTGATTTGTAATTTCATTAAAATTGTTAATGTGATTAGCAACAAACATACCTTCATTCATCTTTAGATTAAATAAATAAGAAATCAAAAATACTTTGTTAGAGGCAAAAGACTTTTTGTACATGTTTATTAGTACCTTCATTAAGTTTATTATAGCCTTCTTATTAATAATGCTAAATACAACATTCTTTGCCAATGTCAAATAAGTGACATCCAAAGCCTAAAGATTTGATAAATCTAAGTCTGCTTCCTTCATTACAAATAGCTTTGTACAAACCAACAATTTGTGAATTTTTTTCTAACATAAATAATCTTTGATCTTTATCTTCTAAAAACAAAAATATTTTCTATTGAATTTGTTGATTTTTACTTTCTTTCATCTAACACCATAGCTTCCACTCAAATACTCAAACCAATATCTTTGAAATCACAATCTTTGCAAATCAATATAAGCAGATATAAGCAATGTTGTATTATAACACAACTATATGATAAAAATATAATCAAAAATTAATTTTCTAATTAATATTTAATCATTTTGGTTCAATATTAATTCAAGATATTTGAATATGGCTTTTATAAAAGCCTCTTATTTTATTTTCTTGTCTTAATAGCTAGTAGTTTAAAGGTTGGTTAGTAATTTTACCTTCTAAACTATAAAATTTCTTTTAGCACCTTAGAAAAGCCATAAATTGATAAAAATAGGATAGATGAGATAAATAATTAGTATAATTGATACTAAGATTAAATTGAGGGTAGGATCGGACTAAAAAATCTCTAAGATTGGTTGGATTGATACCCAAGGATTAACCATTTGTAGGACAGGGTTAAGATCAGACCTTTAGCTACTAAAACAACTACATAGGACAAAATAAGAATTTATTCAAAGACCTACAATTGGGGTTTGAGAGCTAGCTTTAAGCTTATTCTAGAGTTGGGAGATATCTAGGTATTGGTACAAGAAGGTATCAGAAGTTGGCTATTTGGGGTCATGTAGGATTTCTATGATATCTAAAGATCTACGAGTTAGATCAAGGTGAAATTTGGCATGGTCTTAGAGGACTTCAAGATCAAGCTACATACCAATTTTGAATTGAAGATAATGGTTATAGAAGGAGAAATTGCTATTGGAACATCTGCACCAACTTTCAAGTTGGCAATCAAGTGATATCAATACGATTTTTTGGACTTTTCTCACAATTTGGTTTCTTAGATATTTGTAAAACACAATCTCACCTTCTACAGTCAAGTGCCCATTGCATTTGTAAACAAGACAACATGTATTATGATAGCACCATTACATATTATATACTTAGATTACTTAAATAAAAAAAATAAAAAATAAAAAATCTAATACATGTTGATAGGAATTCACCTACATAATAGAATAAAAAAAAATTAAGAAAGAAGTTGATAGAATAAATTCTAAAAAAGAGACTTATGAATCTATAAAAATAAGATTCTACTAAGAACATTGTGATCACTGGAGAAGAAAAACTTAACACATTCAAAGTTTGAAATAAAAATTTCTTACAAGGGCTTTACTCTTAAAAATCCTTATAAAGAGTGATGTCTTTTAATTCCATCCATCCATCTATCAACATACTTGTTGTAGAGAGGTTGCCATCTTTTATAACTTCATTGGATTTGTTGCAAATGTAAATTTGGTTCCATACAATAAGATCTACTTTAAGCTTTGCTTCTACAAAATACTTTAAAAAATTGAGATATTTGTACACCACATCTAATTTATGATTATTTACAAAAATTGCAAAATATAGGTCTAGAAAATTTTTAAAAATAGTTATTTGTTTGATTGGTATTTCTATTAAGTTATAACATTAAAATATCTTAAGCCACAATTTTGGATATAGTAGTAAAATTAGACTTGGGGATATCTAGGTATTGGTACAAGCTGAAAGAATAAACAAAAATTTGAATAAGAATACAAAAAATATAAAAATATGTTTAAGATTGCTAAAATACTTTTAGACAGATGTAATCAGCACAATAGATTAGTTGATAAATCAAGGACCTTCAATTTGCTTGGACTTCAAAATATCAAAGGATGTATAGACATGAAAGAAAGTTTTTTTTTTTTTTTTTTTTTTTTTTTTATTATTATTTGAGAGTTGTTGGCCGTGTTTCATATGTGCAAGTAGACTCTAATAAGAGAAGAAATCTTGATCTTAAGGCTAAAAATTGTTATTTCATTAATTATGGTTTTGATAATTTTGATTATTATTTTTGAAATAATTAAAGTAAAAAAATATTAGATATAAGTATGTATTTGTTTTTGAATAATTTTCTACAAGGATATGTTTGTAGTATGTTTTTACAATACAAAAAGATTTTTTTTTTTTTTTTTTTTTTTTGTTTAAAGACATATCAAAAAGTAATGTGGCTATTTGGATCTAAGAAAATTCTAAGAATAATATAATATAATAAGCAAAAACAAAAAAAAAAAATTCTCCTCACATAATAGTAAGGAAATTTAAAAGGATTTTTAAATCTCCAAGTTGATATTCTCTTCTATTTTATCATTTACTCATGACTAATGTTGATAAATTAAAATATTTTGCTCAAGTAATATAAGTGAAAGGCTTTATTAGGTAGGACTTAACCATACATAATAAGATGGGTTCTTTGGAAAAAAAAAAAAATGGATATTGACTTACTTGACATTCAAAAAGAAAAAATTACAAAAAAAATGGATATATTGTATGAAAAAAGAAAACAATAATAACACAAGATACAAAGAAAGATTGATTGTTAAAAAATTCTAATAAAGGAGTGGAATTGATTATATTAGGCTATTTTCTCTTCTTATCAAATTAAGCACTATAAGGTTGGAATTAAATAATTTTTCTACCTAGAACTTGAAATTAAATATAAAGATTATTTTCTTGTATGGTATTCTTAATAGGGATATTTACATGCTGCAATCAAAAGACTTTTTAATTCCTTGTAAAGAAAATTTGGTGTACAAATTGAATGACAACTTGTACGGCTTGAAATAAGCTCTAAGACAATGATACAAAAAGATTTATGGCTTTATGTGTGATAATGGCTTTAAAAGATGTGACATAGATCATTGTAGCTACTTTAAGAAGTTTGATGACTCTTATATTATTTTGCTTTTGTACATTGTTGACATGCTTGTTTTTGGCTCTAATATGAAAGATATCAATGAGCTAAAGCAACAATTATCAAAAGAATTTCAAATTAAAGATTTTGGACCTTCAAAGTAGATATTTAAGATAAAAATTACTAAAAATAAAATTAAAGAAATTATAGAATTAATTAAAAAAAAGATAAATAAAAAAAGTATTGAGCAAGTTCAATCTTCATGTTGCAAATCATAAAAATACTTTTTTGAGAAGTCTCTTCAAACTTACAAAGAAATAATTATCAAAGATAGATAAAGATCAAAAGTACATGGAGAAGGTTCCATGTGCATTAGCCATTGAAAGCTTGATATATGCTATGATTTGTATAAGACTTGACATAGCACATGCAATAGGAATTGTAAGAAGATATATAAAAAATCTTTGAAGGATGCATTGAAAAGCTATAAATTGACTATTGCAATGTTTGAAAGACACTACTTTATACTATATTTCAAAAAGAATAGTATAAATTTGCAAGGATTTATTGATGTAGATTTGAGTACTGACTTAGATAGTTATAGAAATAGAACATATTTTATGTTTACTATTAGAAGTTATGATGTAATTTGGATGTCTAAACTTTAGAAGAATGTTTCTATAACAACTTCTAAAACAAAGTATATGACCATCTTTGAAGCTGAAAAATTAGTGATTTGGTTGAAGAACTTTTTAAAAGAATTAAGCAAAGGGCAAGTCAATATGTTTTTTTTAGTGACATTCAAAGTGCAGTTCATCTTGCAAAGAATTT